GAATTTTTGAAAATAAAAAAAGTTTTCATGCCCTGGAGAAAAAAAAATATCTCTCTTCCACGCTCCTGTCCACTGAGCTCCCCTTACCACTTCTGGTGTGGGGCTGTCCAGTTTAAATGGATTTTGGTCAAATAAACTTAAAAATTTTTAATATACCTCAGTTTATCTTTTAACAATGTAAATACGTACAAAGCTTCTTTCTGAGAAAAATTCTGGTGTAGTAGAATTTTCTATGCTCCTTTTTGAAAATAGTTTTTTGTCCTTATATAAAACAAATGGACAAGGTATAAAGATAACATTTGGGATTTAGTGCATTTGATTAAAATGGCAGCCCCAAATCTGAAACTACTATAAAATAATATTAAATGTCAACTATAATTGATAAAAATAATAAATAAATAAGAATTAAGATAAAAAATAAAATAAAATAGCAGCCAAATCACATAAGTTCTACCCGAGATATTTCTTTAATAAATAGTGATGTAGTTTTAACATGGATTGATGTCGTTTTGAATAGTCACCAAATAAACACAACTTAAGAAAACAATGCAGAGCCAAACAGGTGCAAGGCGTGGCTCCCAGCAAGACACCTAGCTGAACAAAGCCAGGATACTTCTGGGATGCTGGCCCTGGGCAGGTCACTCCCCAGGAAAAAGGAAGTTCCTTGACCAGCAAATCCTTTAAAATTCTAGCATCTAGCAGCTGCCTAGTAACTTTATTTCGGAACATTATTCTTAAATGTATATAAAGTGATTGCCTTTCTAACTTGCCTTGTCCAGGGGATATTAAAATGCTAGGTCGAAGCTTAGCCATCTTATTGGCTTTTGACTATGAACAGGATGTATTGAAAATCCCTTTGAGAGGACAACTGAAGATTATTACATATAATATCTAATACTGTAGTGGTTGTCCTGAGCTGGAGGGAGGCATGAATGGGTAATTCGTGTTTAATGGGGAGGAAGAGAGAATAAGGAATGAGTATTTAATGGGTACAGAGTTTCAGTTTGGGATGATGAAAAAGTTCTGGAAATGGATGGTGGTGATGGTTGCAGAACAATATGAATGACATTATGAACTTAAAATGATTCAAAGGGTAAATTTTATATATATTGTTCCCAATTTAAAAAATATAACATTGCTAGGCTAATAAAAAGGAGCAAATTAAAAAAAAAAAAAAAAAGTGAGCTCTGAGGAGGAAATAACCCGACAGAAAAAAGAAAGAAAAAAAAAGAAATGGACCTCATGGTAACCACAAACCAAAAATCTACAAAAGATAAAAAATAAAATAAAATAAAATAAGGAGAAAGAAACCCAAATGTGACACTGAAAGCCGTGGGGTTTTAAAAAGCACAGCTCCTGTAGGAGTCTGGTCTATTTTTTAAGAGCAATGGGAAGGCTGGCAAGGCTTTGAGTAGCGGGATGCTCTCAGATTGGCCTTTTAAAAAAATCTCTCTGGCTACAAGTAGGCTGAGTGGAGAAGGCAAGAATGGGTAGAGGGAGACACAGAGGAAGACAGGATAGAAATTAAGTTACAGTTAGAGTAAGGAAATCTGGAATGCCAGGGAGAGGCATCTGGGCCTTCATCAATGTTCAAAGGGAATATAATCAAAGGGTTTTGAACAGGTAAGTTTCCAAGTCCTTTCTCAGACCAGTTGGACGACTAGAGAGCTGGGAGCAGTGGTAGGGCTCATGCAGCCACACCAGATACTGCTTTAATGTACGATAAGACATTTTCCCAAACTGACCATTAAAGTCACCTGTACCTCCTATGAAAATGCTAATTTTCAAACCCAAATCTTCTGACTCTGAATTTTGAGAGGAGCCTAGGAAGCTGTGTTTTTGCTGTTTTTGACACTGCTGCGGGTGATTCTCATGGTAAGGCAAGTTTTAGAAAGTACCAAATCGTACCTTTTTTAAAAATCAATGTTTAGACAAGCAGCAAAACAGAATAAGAAATAATATAGAAGCTATCCTGAAACATGATTCTCCTTTTCTTTTACTGAATGACAATACGGGCGGAAATAGATTAGTGGTTCTCTTAAAACAAAAATGGGTGAAAACAACTTTTAAAGGATGAACATGGTATAATAGGAAAATAGTAATGGATGTGTATAATATTGGTTTATCTGTCTCTATGTATCTGTCTCTGTGACACTGGCACTCACAAAGAGTAGGCATTATTCTTGGAAGGTCTGAGTATGTTAGTTTCTTAGGTCATCCAAATCAAATTACCACATTTGTTTTAAATGACAGAAATTTATTCTGTCACAATTTTGGAGGCCAGATATCCAAAATCATGATATTGGCAGGGCCATGCTCCCTTTAAACACTAGGGGAGAATCCTTCCTTGCTTTTTTCAGCTTCTGGTATATTCTTTGGCTTGTGCCTGCATATAACTCCAATCTCTGCTTCCGTATCTTCACATAGCCTTCTTCTGCATGTGTGTTTCCTCTTCTGCTTCTTATGAGAACATGTATCATTGGACTTAGGTCCTACTTAGTTAATCCCGGATGATCTCATCTTGAGATTCTTAATGTAATTATATCTGCAAACTCTTTTTCCAAACAAAGGGTTTAGGACTTGGACATATTGTTTTGGTGGGTGGAGGAAGGGGTTCACAATTCAACCTATTAAATTGAGTGATTTAAAATTGTTGAGCTGGCCCATACGATGCTCTCACCTATGTCAGTGTATTTAGGGTTTTGTTGTTGTTTTTTTTTTTAACATAGATGCTCTTCATAGATGCTCCTCAGAATGACAGATGTTTATGAATGAATTCACTCATCCGAGTCATATATATTTTAAGCACAATTTTGTCATTTCAAAATAAGACATGGTATTAAAAGGCAACATATAGTAGACAAAATCACAATCAGACAATTATGACATTGCAAAAAATTCCGTACCTTTTTCTGAAAGAAAAATTTTAAGCATGAAGGTAGACATGTATATCACAAGAAGAGGAAACCAAACTGTTTTAGTGATTTCTGCTGATATTCTCCTTGGTAAGTGCCAATGAATCGTGTGGTATTATAATAAATGTTTGGTTTTTTTTTTCCCATGGCAAAAGGCAGGAATGGCGGTTATTGCAAGGATATGTGAAGTAGCTATTAGAAACAGAAATAGCTGTAGATACATAAATATATGATGAGGCATCTGTAGTTAATTACTGAACATCAGGTGCTTATAGATACAGGGAAAAATAGTACTTTACGATGGATAGAAGGACAGGACAGACACATAAAGCAGTGTGGAGTAGGACACTGCACGATACCAAAGGAAAAAAATTGGTGAGTGCTGATTTATTGGGAAACCTAAAGGAGAATATCTAAACAGAGGTATTTCTCTAAGGCATAGCCACCTAGAGGTTTCGCATATTCTTTAGTGAGAAGAAACTGGCAATAAGGGGAACTTAATAATGTCTGTACAAATCTGTTGAGGTATTTAAATATATTTCTATTTTGCCAAACTTGTTAAAGTATATGGTGTTCATTCTTCATAGTAGGTTCAGTTCTTGTGAACTATAATTCTCTGTTCTTATAAAAAAAATTCCCTTAGTATTCATCAAAAGAGAAGAGAATGAGGGAGAATGAGAATGACATCTAAACTGGATAGATCCAAATATAAATTCAGCCAATATCCTTGTACCAAGGATAAGGAGACCGATCCAGTAGCGACCTTATAAAGTGGGACTTGGTTAGGTCTTGCTTCTATCAGAATATTCCATTTGCTTTTATAAAACAAATTGTAGTTTTTCTGATCATTTAATGTCTGCACTACATCTACAGCTATACTAGCAATACATCTCAGAAACTAATTCTTAAAACAATGTCAGATTCCAAAACGACACATCTAAATCCAAGTTTTACTATTGGCGTAATCCGTCTCTATCCACAGACTTCTGAAACTTCTCAGTCTTTGCAGTAATGGCCAGTAAAACACTAACACATCATTGCAATTTATATTATTGTCTTGCAAATTCTGCTAAGCATAATTACAAGCAAACGAACTTTCAGCACTGGATACTTATTTAGATTAATTGACTTTTTTGACCAATCGGGCTGCTACCTATCTTGCATTTAATTTCACTCTGGTATTTTTGTTTGCTTCCTCTAACATTTTTAACATAGATAACATAAGTTCAGACTTCACATTACAAAGGAAAGCTTGAATAAATTCATACTGTATATTCTTTAGTACATTCTCTACTAGTAAATCCAGGAGTGAAATATCTCAATATAAAAAGAAACAGTACTTTTTGTTTTTCAAAGAAAAATTCATAAGTGACATATATTTAAATTTTAATCATTCAAGCAAAAATGTTAGAAAGCCCTCCCACCCTCAGCCTTTGTTTTCCAAAATATAAACAGAATTCCAAGAGAGAAGGACTGCTCTTTTGTGTCTAATCCAGCAATAGAGGGGAAGTGGTTGAATCCGATAAATTTTGCTATGGATTCCTTAATCTAGGCAATGATTACAAATTCATGCATTTAATTCGAACAGTGATAATTAGGTTGATTTCCCGATGACTCATTTTGTAAACCGTTGGCTATTAGCGTTCCAGCTGGAGTGGACCATGTGCTGCCTTCCTACTGACATCAGTGGAAATCTTGAGTCAAGATCAAAGCTACTTTATGCCTCTCTGACCTTTCTTCACAATGCGCAGTGGGGCTTGGTTTCTCAGCTCAGAATTTTCAGATTTGCTTCAGTGTGCCCATGGGGTTACCACTTGCAGACAACCTACTTGCAGATACTCACTGAAGACCCCATGACAGGCTCATTGGAAATCACATGTTGGATTCTAGCTTTCAGGTGGTTTCCTAATCCAGATCCCAAATTTCAGGAATTCTCAGGTCTGGTTCACTTGCTGATGCTTCCGTGAATAGAGAGCTGGAGGCAGGGTGGAAGGCACTGCTTATGTTGCCCCTAGAAGTCTGCCATAGGCTCCCTTTCCTCTAGAGATGCACTTTGAGAATCAAACTAGCGAAAGGACCACTTACCTTAACAGTCATGTCTGCACTGGATGTTTCTGTGGCATCAGAGGCTTCCTCATCTCCCTTTAGCAGCACACTCTCCCATCCGATTCCTGAAAAATAACAGAACAGTGCCATTTGAGCCAAGTACATTCAGTTGGCATGGACAGACACACCTAACTGTCATTTTGCACATTCCGATTCTATGTAACTTGTAAAGGACACCGATGATCATCCACAGTGCCTTACCTGCCTGGCAGCTAACCACTGGGAAAGCTTCCTCTTCCTTTCAGAAGTGTGGGCAGTCAGCACCTCCTTTGTTTTTACCTAACCTCTGACTTCTGAGTCCCCTGTATCTTACACAGTTCTATTCTTAGCCCAGAGTAAAGAAGAGAACTTCAGAATCCAGGCCTCATATTGAGGTCTTATTGGCTTACAGTGAATCCCAGAACACTGAAACATACACATCTGAATCTAATTCAATACCCAATAGTGACAACACCAGATTATTAAATTCCACATACCTACTGGAAATAGCTGAGTGTTCACACTCTTAAAATCTAGATATGCTTTCTCTCCAAGTCTTGATAAATCTTAGTGTTCCTTTTTTGCTTAAACTGTCAGACTATCTCCAAGAGTGAATATCTGGCAAGATACAAGATTTTACTCTCTCTAATCTCAAAAAAGAGTTCAAGGGCTGGTGTTTTGAAATACCTAAGAACGTAATACATAATGTAAAACTACATTAATTCAGATGTAATGATGTATGTAAATAGAAGTGGAACGCCCTATGTTAATGGAAAGTTTGAAGTCATGACAAGTGTATTTTCAAAAACAGATTTCTTGCAAGAAAAATCATCCCTTAAAAGTTAAAAAAGTGATACTTGAGAGTTTGTCAGGGGCTACATTAACAACAGATACAAATTTTATAATTGGTATTATAACTGCCCACTTGGAAACGAGTGCTCATAACCTCAAGTATTAATAAGATAGGTTAAGATATCTGTAATATTTGTTTACATTACTGATTTTCTCAATAATTTTCCCTAAAGATGACTCAAGGGCAATATTCATCCCAGACCTGTGTAAATAACCCAAATTCCAAAATTTCAACTATCTAGCATTATGTTAAATCAGGATTGGCAAATCTTTTCTGTGCCACTAAAATAATAAATATTTTAGGCTTTGCAGTTATGTCATTTCTGTTGCACCTTCTTTTTTTAAAATTTTATTTTATTAGTTTCAAATATACAGTACATTGGTTAGATATTTATATAGTTTATAAAACAATCTCCCCTAATTGCTTTTTCTCACCTCTGGCTCTCCACCTAGCCATTACATTAATGCTCACTGCATTCCCTATGTCCTCTGTTGCACCAGTTTAAGCTGCCACTGTAGGCAGAACGCAGCCACAGATAACACAGACAAATGTGCAAGGCTGGGTTCCAATAAAACTTTATTTACAAAAACAGGCATTGGGCCAGATTTAACCCACATGATGTACTTTACTAGCCTCTGTGCTAAATCAAGAAACAGAGATGTGGGCTGTCCCCACCTAGAGCTCCCCGCTCACAGCCTCTGCACCTCGCTCCTCTTTGACAAGGCAAAAATGTCCAGCCCTACAGAGATGGAGTGGTGTGTCCATTCAGTGTCTGATTGTTATTTTCCAGAGGTACGCTGGAAAGGACCGTAACAAGTGCAGTATCTCTAAGACCGAGTTCCTGACTTTCAAGAATACAGAACTGGCTGCCTTTATCAAGAACCAGAAGGACCCCAGTGTCCTTGACTGCATGATGAAGAAATTGGACATCAACTCTGATGGGCAGCTAGCTTTCCAAGAATTTCTTAATCTTATTGGCAGCATGGCAGTAGCTTGCCATGACTCCTTTCCCCTTTCCCAGAAGTATATCTGAGGAGTCCTAGCTGGCTCTGGACCCATGCCTTTCCTTCCGGCCTCCCGATCACCATCATCTCCTCACAGACCACATATGCCCTGAGCCCGGCGCACCCACCCCCCCATGCAGGCCACTCTTGCTGGTAGTAATAAAATGTTATCGTTTTTTAAAACACACACACACATGCAGAAACCAGAGATGTGTACAGGAAAGAGTACAATGCTCCAGTGTTTTTATAAGGATCAATTACCAATAACAATTGTTTGCAATTACATGATACTTTAAATAAACTAATATAAAATTAATTAAGTTTTAAAACATTAGCATTCATTGCATTGCCTTCTTTGATATTCTGGATTCTCGAAAGCCTCATTTTACAAGATATATGCACAATGGATTACTCGAGATTCATGAGCTACAATTTGTTGCATGGCGCAAATATTTTTCTCACACTAGGCTGTAGAAATTGGGTCAGTTTGGTAACGTGTCCTACAATTTTCTCTCAAGAATTTGCTGCAAGTAAGTTGTCACTTTTGTCTAAAATTCATGTTCTGGGAGAAGAATCTTTGCTGCCACATGAATAAATTATTTCCCTGAGACACCTTGCATGTAATAGCCCCTCCGGATTGAAGCCACTGTTGCTGCCTGTCGGATCCGGCTGGCAGAGAGACACAGAATGCTGGGCACGGTGAACAGTTATATGATATTTAGTTTATGGAATAGTTTGAATTATTGTTTAGCAAATACTCATTTCCCTCTTCTCACTGCAGCAATTTTCTTCCCGGTCCCACTGATGTTTGCTTTGGCCAGAATGTAATCCAAGTATTGAAATAGGCTTGTCTGGTGGTGCTTGCCCTCTTGCACTTCTGCCATAGCATAAGAATATACCCCAGTTGGCCTGCAAGGGAATGAGAGTCATAGGGAGCAGATCTGCTCCCAGTCTGCACTTTGGAGCTAAACCAAGTCTAGGTCAGCCAACTCCCAACCTAACTGCATATACGCATGACAGACGATAAAAGCTATTAAGTTTGGAGATGATTTGTCAAGGAGTATTACTGTAACAATAGCTAATGGATACAATCTATAACCTAAATTATAGATGAAAATCATTTTGGAAATAGTACTTTTATTGTTAGCTATGCAAATATAATTCTCTTTGTTGTATAAAAATTTCACTTACATGTATTGATTCCCATCTCTTTCTATATCTTATCCCACTTTGGGGAGAATCTTTTCTCTGCTACAATCATTTCTTTTGTAAGCAATACTATCTTTATTAAAAAGATATATGGTTATAAGAAAGAGATATTACACGTAAATATATATATATCCTCACAATGTTAACGAGCAATCATGAAAACTTTAAATTAGATGGCTTGTCATTTCATGGCAAGAGTGATAGGAAATAGACATAATGTTTTAATTTTAAAACATTAATCCTAATAATAAGTTATGAGAACATGAAATTATTATTTTAAAAGTTAGAGGCAAAATTCCTTCCTGGGAGAAAATTGTATTTTGGAAAACAAAGCAACTTTATGGACCATCTGGGTATGAAAACACGGGTCCCACATCATGGAAGGAAGACAGAGAAAGTTCTCGTCTTGAGAACCTGCAGACGCAAGATGATTGAACTTCTTTATAGGAGGATGCTTATACATATAAAAATGCCACTTCCTTTTCCAAAATGGTGATTTTCATTCCACCAACATTTAAATGCACAGGACCACAAGTGGACAGGGGAACAGCTCAGAATGCAGGATGAGCGAGAACTAAAGCTTTATTGTTTCAAGCCACAGGATTGGGGGCCATTTATTACAGCAGCATAATCCAGTCCAGCCTCAGGAGAAGGAGCCTTTCCAGACTTGCCTGCCCCATTAACCTCCTGTTCTCATTGGAGAAATTTCTTTACATAAATCTGTTTTCTATCCTTTATATCAATTCTGCCATTTAAATCTTGTCTCTTCAACCAACTTATAATGATCCCTACTTTCTACTTCTTTGGGGCTACTCTCTGTTCCCATTGTGCCCGGTGCTTATTGAACAGGTTAGTTGCATCTCATGAAGGCTTTATGTTCTAATGACAAAGGCATGATCAAAACTGTCCTTGAAAATTCCTTAAGTCTCCCATACAGTACAATATAGCACCGTACTTCAGAAAGCCCCACAGAGCCACTTTTCGTTCCAGCCTTGGAATAGATCGTTTCTTCTGCTAAGTATCAGACGATGCTGTTGGCATGTACTAAGGATCATGCCATACAAAAAAATAATAAATAAATAAATAAATAAATAAATAAATAATAAATTTAAAAAAAACAAAACGAATCTTCAAACTCTAGAATTTCTCAAGGTTTGGAGCTACTCAGACTACGAGAGACGGCAGGAGCTGAGACTGAATGTGGGGACAGCAGATTACCACTTTCCTTGTCATCTTCACACTGGGGTGCATCAGATAGGGTGCTTTTGGTCATAGGTACTAGAATGTCTATTTAATGGAGGCTTAAACAAAAAGAGGATTGACTGGCTCATGTAACAAGAAGTTCCAAGGTCATGTAGCATCACAGTGGTTAATTCAATGACTTCATGGCCTCAGGGTCTCAGTTTGACCTTTCTGCAGCTCTCTCGTCTTTCCTCTGTGGTTCTAAGATGGACACGGCGATTCCATATGTCATGAAAACATCCAGGAGCAGGAAAAGAGAGAAGTAAATGAGCCTTCCACAAAAGCACCCTCCCCATATCCCCAAGGAGACCCACCCACCCCACACACAAAGTCTCACAGGTCAAAAACAAGGTAAAAGACTATTCCCAAACCAATCATGAGAAAAAGGAATGGAATTATCAAAACCAGTTTGGAGCTAATTAATCAGGTTTTACCCCTGAATCAGGGAGGGTGTCAGCGTTCTCTGAGCATACAGTTACCTGGAGCATGAATAAAGGAACCAAACAGGATCTTGGCCAGCAAAAAAGAAGGGGAGAGGTTGGTGGCCATCGAAGAAGAAACCAGTAGAATCTGTCACAAGAGGACGTGCACATAGATTGGAATGACAGGCAGAATCACTTATACTTCTTGAATTTCTATTTTCTTTTCTCTTTCTCTTATTACTTTAGCTAGAAATATAAACTTGAATTCGTATATTGTTAAATACACAGGTGATGCCAGGATTCAACCTTACTTTCCAGTGCCAGCTCCTTGGTGATAACGTCTTAGCTCAACACCA